TTAATCTCATCTTTGCAGCAGTTCAGAGTTACTGGCAACGAGACTGATTCCACAAACATTTAATGGGCTTTTTTCCCCCTTTTCCTATAAAATATAATTGACAACTGTATTAATATGCTGTAAAAATTATTTATTTAAAGTCACTACTTGAAGATAAATAATGTTAATTTTGTTTACTACTATCACATATTTTATCACTAATAAGATTAATAAAGTTTTTTTTTTTTAACTTAACCCAACTTGCTTCCTCTGTACACTATGACCCACATCATTCATTTAACCCTTTCCTCTTTGCCTTATTTACTGTTGTACAAATCTAAAAAATACTTTTATATATGGGCCTATTTACAACCCCATTTTCCTAAATCTATAGTTTTTGTTATTGAAAATCTAAATTCAGTGCATAATTGTTTTGTTTTTATATATAGCTTCTTTTGCACGTCTTTTATCACTTTTGTTTACAATCATATTATTATCCAGTCCAATGCAAGTGAGATGTTTGTCACAGCAAGAGTCAATACCCTACAAGCTGTTTTACGAAAGTTAATGAAAAAGTTTATTTGTAGGTTAAATGCATCTGGAATCTATATTATCTTGTAACTTACTGATACCTCGCGTAGTGCAATCCGATATCAGCCTAAGCTGTAGAGACACTGGTATTCCTGTCTTCTTAAAGTTCCTCTTTAGTCGATTATGGTACTTGTATTGTGCTTTTTTTGAGTCAGGAATAAAGTTTTATCTATTATCTGTAGCACTGAATCGAGGAGAGTTTACTGTTAAGGTAGGGGTGTCTATCAGCAGCATCACCTGTTTGTTTTTTGTTTTCTTTTTGCAACATGGGTGCCACTCACAATATGGCTTCTTCAAGGACGCACATCCTTGAAGGTGTGACAGCTTATCTGTGTTAATTGAATTTGAAGAAGAGCAGTTCCCCAGCAAGGTTTTTATTGGTTACATGAGCTACGATGTAAAGATGTACAATCCTCCACCTCTAAGATGTTTCAAATGCCAAAACTTTGGTCATATAGCAGCAGTATGCAAAGGAAAACAACAATGTGGAAGGTGTGCTGTAGAGCACGAATATGGAAAATGTTGGAAATAAGTTAATATCATATGCTGTAACTGTGGTGGGGAACATACATACTTGCATATAGCGGGTGTGAAGTGAGTAAAATGTCTGAAGAAATTAGAAAAGTAAATTTGGAGCTCGGAATAACATATCCTGCAAAAAGGATCCCATCCATGTCAGAAAGACCCAAACCATCAGTTAAGCACATGACAAGTTCAAAACCTGCTAGAGCAGCATCCCAAAATTGAAGAAGATTCATTGATTGTGAAAAAGAACAGATTTTGTTCTTTTCATGGTAGAAGTGATCAATTGTAGTGCTCTGCTACAAGGAAAACCTAAAAAAATCAAAATAATAGTGAAAGATGCAGAAAAGTATCTTGAAGTTAGAGATTTAAACTGGGAAATGTTTGACAGCATGATGGGAAAACCAATAAGAGCATCAGAAACTGGCAGAGTGACGGTAACTTACTGATCATTTTGAAATTATGAGTACAAATTTGGTTAAGTATTTATTATGTTGGGTTAAGTTAAATAGTACGGTAAAATTGGATTTATTTATTTATTCATTCATTCATTCATTCTGAGGGTGGGTTTTGTTTCCTGTTTCCTTGCTTGACTCCTTACCAGTTGGTGGCGGTAATGCGCCAACCACCATAAAACCTCACAAGAAGAAGAAGAAGAAGAAGAAGCAGCAGCAGCAGCAGCAGCCCCACAGTAGTGAGGGGCCAGGAGTTCACTTTGGCTGCTTTAGATCCTTACAATAAAAGACTCTGGCATCATCATAAAGCAAGTATATTGTGTTTGTTTCATATGTTGCTTTTATTTAGCCTCTAGAACCCATTTCGACGCTGAAACCTAGTTAGCTTAGCGTTTACGCTAACTACTATAAGCTAATCTAACTGTTTTCATTGCTTAATTCTTATTTGTAATTTGTCTTTGGATTACATTTTTGAAATTGTGCAAAACATATGTGAGGTAACGGTTACGTGCTTTGACTCTTTGTTAAAACATTCATGACTGCTTCTCACATGATGAGCATGAGGAATGTTGCTGGAGGTCATTATTGATAAAATGCCATTTAAGTTTATATGTTTAAACATTTTAGCAATTAGGATAGAATGAAGTGTCTTGAAATGGTAATTTCTAGGGCTATAAAGTGAAAACGGAATAGGGTTTAAACAATTAATCGTGATTAATCGATTATTAAAATAATCATCAACCAATTTAGGAATCAATTAATCGTTAACTGGAGTATAGAGACTCTAAAACATACCTTTAGCTGACAGAGGAAACTACTTAGTGCAGCAATTATATCAAAATTGTAAAAAAAAAAAAAAGAAATATGTAAAAATTTTGCATTTAAGATTAAAATCATTTTCTTCTGTCCATATGCTCTGTCCAGAATTTCTTAAGTGGAAAATTTTTTTTTTTTCACCTGGTTTGATTTCACAAAAAGTCTTCTTAAAGAATATTTGGCTATCTGATTATTAATCGAATTGAAAGTTTAATCCACAGATTAATCAATTTGCAAAATACTCCTTAGTTGCAGCCCTGATATGATATGATGACACAAGTCCGAGGTATACAGTGCAGAATAGGGTTTCTAACATCCATAGTTAATCTTCAGCTGTTGATGAAAAGTATTCCCCTGTTGAAAGACATTAGATAAGCAATCTATCTCTTAATAGGAAAAGAAACTGAATTGTTTGGGGGTTTTTTTTCTTAAAGAAATTTAATCTATTGTGACTACAGGTTTAAATTATTTGTTGAACAAAGAAACACCTACAGTTTCTCTGTTACCCTGAGAGTCGGCCATTCTCTTGTGATGATGATGTGTTTACAGTACGCACATTGTCAGGGAACTTCTTGTTGTGTGTCAGGTTATTGGTGACCCTTGCCAATCAGGTTTTCTATAGCTGTAGTTCTGGCCCTCCCCCATTTGTTGCCACACACACATCCAGCTGGCTCAATGTTATGGAGGTAAACTTCTCTCAATGTTATTAAATCAAACCAAAACGAATCTGATATTTTTGCTTTAATGGAACATTATGTTTTTGTGGAAAAAAAAAAGATTTGTCTAAATCTAAGTTAGCTGCAAACCTTAGACTATTATTTGCCCTTTGGTATGACTCACAAAATTTTGTTTTTTATGCTCCCTGTTTTTTGTTAAACTTAACTGCACTCTGGGTCCCTGAGCAAGACCTTTAACCCCAAACTGCTCCCTGGCCTCATTGCAATGGCAGCCCACTGCTCCCCAATGAGATGGGTTAAATGCAGATGTAAATTTTTTTTCAACATGAGATACTAAAGTTAAAGGATTACCAATTATTTTTATAAATCTGTACATTTAAAATTAAATTATTGAAGTAAATTATATTACTTAATCGATACTAAATTATCCATTATTAGATGGGAAACCTCACCCAGCCTGGACACGGAAAGGATTGACAGATTGATAGCTCTTTTTGTAGTAAATTACATTACTTAATCGATTAATAAATCATTAATTATTAATTAATCTGATCATACATACCTTTCCTTATTGGACATTTAAAAAAGTAATCCCTTGTTTAATTTTTTTCATGTTGCATTTTCAAAACTTTTTTGCAGTTACATTTTCTTTTTACTTTACTCTCATTGGCTAGGCTGCCACAGTTGGTTAACAGTTGCTTTATTTCTGTTTTAAATGAAAGTAATTAGACCATATTGAATTTTTTGTTTTTGATTTATGTTAGTACAGTCATATTTTAGCTAAAGATTAATTCTCATGCTAACCCAGACCTGTAACATTATTCTGACATACATCTGCAAAAGAAGCATCTGCGTATTTCTATTACTACTTCATAATATGATGAAAAAAGAAGCACCGATTTGAGACTTTAAAATGAGTGACAGAACTCCCTCTGTAGGAATCTATTTCAACTCTTCTAACGTTTCAGCTCTGTGTTTTGTCAACCAGCTGAACCATGGCCAACATTGAGATCAGAAAGTACCGGGATGAAGACTGTGAGACTGTGAAGGAGCTTTTCATCTCGGGGATGAATGAGCACCTACCTTTGTCCTTCATGCACGTCCTGAAACAGCCGTTGACCCACATGCTGCTCATGTGCACCTTCTGCTCGCTCATGGCCACCGCTAAGTCCGTTCTGCTGCCCGTCCTGGCCGTCACCCTCCTCCTGGCCGGAGCCCGGCAGATGATCGTACACATGTTCAACACTTACATAGAGGCCTCCTTAAAGAATGACCTCAACAGCATTGATGAGACCTACCTGAAGCAGAGAAATTCCTGTTTCTGGGTGGCTGAAAGTGACGGGCAGGTGGTCGGGACAGTGGCGTGTGTCCCGGCTGAGAACGCCCCTGAGTTTTTGGAGCTGAAACGTATGTCAGTCCGTCGCAGCCACCGTGGAAAGGGAATCGCTAAGGCTTTGTGTCGGACAGTAGCGGATTTTACTCGGGACAGAGGCTATCCTGCTGTCATCCTTTATACCTCTATGGTTGCAACTGATGCTCAGAGGCTGTATGAACATATGGGTTACAAGAAGATAAGGCAGTTCCCTTTACCTGAGTTCTTTGCAAAAATCATTAACTTTACTTTGATTGAGTACAGGCTTGACTTAGAGAAAGAGAAATGAAACTAGTGACAACAATCTTTAAAATAACTTATCATGTTTTTACTTTGTTTAAAGTTTTTTCTATACAACTTGATCTACCCGTTGCTTCCTCAGCAGTTCAGCTATGTTTATTGTTTTATCCTAATTTTTTTTATTTGCTTATGTTTGTATCTAAAAATGTCAATAAATAATTTAACACATTTTTTGTGTGTGCGTGTTTGTGTGTATTTTTTTTAAGTTTTCCCCTTCTTTATAAGGTCCATCAATGCTCAAGGCAGTGGTTGTCAAATTTGGAGCTTCGCCCCCTAGTGGGGGCACCATGTAATAGATTTAAATGACCTATTTTTTGAGGCATTTACAAAATATTAACAGCACAGTTGAAATTACAATAATGATACTATAAAAGCAGTAGTTTTCTGTTTTAAAGTAGAATGCAGTTTCTTTTTAATGGCAGTATTTAATTTAGTGCAGTTGACTTTTCTTTGTTTAGCTTTTGGTAAGGTAGGTTGGGATGTAGGGGCAACTAAAGTTTGGAAACCTCTGGCCACAACTGGCAACCTGTTTTTTTGTCTTTTTTTTTTTTTCAAAAACACTTATTTTTAGCTGTTAATTTTTGATGTTATTTTTTGTTTGTCTAAACAAATACATTCAATACTGGGAAGTTCACTTAAAATGGGTATTGAGATGTTTATCAAATCCATTAAATACATAAAACGTAAAAATGTTCTTTACCCGTATTGCACAGCTCTACTCTACCAATTTCATCCCTGATCGTTTTTTGTGTTCCTTAGTCGCTGTGACACTTTGAAAGATATTCTCTAACAAACCCCTAAAGCCTTTTCTGCTTAAATTTGACTGTCAACAAATAGGCTCATTACATTACTACTTTTACGACATAAAAATGTGCAACAGTTTGAATAAAAAGACAGGAACATTTAAACAAACTATTGACGTAAATCAGGGGTGTTATATCAAAAATAACTAGTATTTGGCCTCAAAATAACCATTACCCTTTAATGTTTTGGTGCATTTGAAGCCAATTTTCATTTACAGAGACAAAATCTGATAAATTTAGAACCCCCTGGGTCACCAGCAGACTTTAGTTTAATGAAGCCTAATAGACCCATCTGAACATTGAATATCCTGAGTTATCAGAATGCAGCAACAGACATCAAAGGCAAAGGAAGGTTTTTGTGCTGCATTCAAAGAGTTTTGCACAGCCGTGATATTTTATAAACACAATAGAAAAAAAAAAACTTACAGAGTTTTCTTTTTGCATTTGATACACATTTAACTATTCAGAAACCCATATATAACATTGTGATATTGGAAGATGAATAAGAGGCCATACATTTATAAAAAAGAACAGAACACTTTTCTTTAGTCTAAATACCTATGAATGCTTCATTATGAGCTGCAAATTTACACAGATGGTTAAAAAAATTCAAAGGGAAATGTGGGAATAGGGATATTCAGATATTAATTCCAGAGTTTGATATATGTATATTTATAAGATTAACAGACTATCGATATACACAGCAGAAATGGTAGCAATTATTATTAGTTTACAGTGGGTGGAGGAGGTTAGACAGGACAGGGTGATGATTTGTACAGATTCTAAAGCTGCAATAGAAAGCATTCATTCAGGAGGAAAAAATAGGAAAGACCTTTTATTAGAAATTCATCAGAGGTTATATTTAGGTTATTTAGGAATGGGATAGATGTTCAGTTCTGCTGGGTTCCAGCACACGAAGGGGTGAGAGGACATTAAATAGCAGACAAGATAGCTAAAACTGCTTTGGGAAAGCAGAATATAGATCAGATTTAATTTGGGAAAGGGAAAGGTAAGTCAATAATAAAATGAAAGAAACAGAATTACGGCAAAAAATATGGGATTAAAATGAGAAAGGAAGAACACTATATAGGATTAAAAAATCTGTAATTGTTAAAAATTATGGAGAGAAAGAAGCAGAAGGGAAGAGATAATTTATACTAGATTAAGAACTGGACATACCTACTTGAATGAGTTTTTGTTTGTAGTATGGAAGAGAAATAATGATTTATGTGAGGGCTGTGAAAGAAAAGAAAATGTGGATCATGTTTTAATGGATTGCATTAAATATGCAACTGAAAGAGAGGATGAGGAAAGTAATTATGGAAAAAGGGAGAGAATGGAGTATTAAAGGAATTTTAGGGACAGATGGAGATAGGGAGGACATTTTGTTTATTAATAAATCATTGTTTTTATTTTGACATAACACAAAAATAAAAAATAGAATATAGTAGGTGGCACTATAGAGCTACACACTCATGTACAGTAGGTGGCGGTATACACCTATAAGGTGTTTGCAATTCGCCATTCAACATAGAGTAGAAGAAGAAGAAGTAGCGTCTAACGAAGAAGAAGAAGAAGAGACTGGGCAGTTCTTATGCACATGCCTGGAAGAGATTTTTCACAGGAGCAGAAACGGTTTATGTTTATTTTGTTCCAAGTACAAATTTAAGGTAATTATATTGTGTTAAGTTGTCTTTTTCATTTCCGCTGTAGAATCCTTAAATTCAGCGCCTGTCAGTTCCTCCGTAGCTGCTTGAGACTAAAAATAATGCTAGAAGTTTGCTGGTCCTGACTGCTATTGAAGCTCTTACTCTCTGGTTAAATTATCCACCGATCGGATTATTTTATTTCCTTGTTGGCTGAATGCTGACTCGTCAATTTGACTGTTGGGTAATGAGGAAGCTTGTTCTTGAGTCCCTTTGTTCCAGAGAGGTCGGTGTGGTTGAAGGTGAAAACTGGTTTATCATTACCTCAAACTGTTGTGTTCTATAATTTAAAAGCACAAGGATATTCTAATATAGGCAGTATAAATGTACTTTGATTCAACCAAATAAAATCTAGTTTGCCCTTTAAAGGCAGCCTGATAATTAGTTAAGCTATCTATAAATTAAATCATAGGGTTTAGAAATAAGGTGAAGTGTTTAACTATATAATTGAAGAAGGAGGCAAGAGATCCATGTAAGTACATTTCTGAAAAACAAAAGTTCTTTTAGGAGTAGTTTTTACAGCATGATATGTTTTACTTGAGCAAAATGTGCTTTTTGGAGAAACTTTATTTAATAATAATAATAATAATAATAATAAAGCTTGTTTTAAACAAATATGCTCCATTAAAAGAGACACTTTCTTCTTTTTTGTACTTGAGGCTTTTTGGTTAAATGCTATTTTCTATCTGCTGAGTCTACCCTGTCATTTAGAAGCTGAGTGAAATGCAGTATACTGTAGTATACCCTAAAGAAGGATGTAAAAGTGTATTTAAGTTGTGATTGAAGGAAAAAAAATCTGAAATATGTCAGTGCTAGTCCCAATATGTGACCCAAACTCCTAAACAACAGCATAAAAGAATCTCAACCTTTTCCTTAAAAAATAAATAAATAAATAAATATATATATACATATACAATTGTTCACAAACGGGTTGCAGTGTAATTGTGTTTTATAATCTCCTAATGTTTCCTTCTTAATTTTTTTTTCTTTTTTGGCCAGCTGAGCCATGGCCAACATTCAGATTAGAAAGTACCGCAATGAGGATGCTGAGAGCGTCAAGGAGCTTTTCACCTTGGGGATGAGTGAGCACGTCCCTTCGTCCTTCACTCACGTCCTAAAACAGCCACTGACCCAGATGATACTCATGTGCTCCTTCTGCGCTCTCATCACCAGCTCCAAGTCCTTCCTGCTACCCATCCTGGCTCTCACGCTCTTCCTGGCTGGAGTCCGACAGATGGTCGTCTACATGTTTAACAAATACATAGAAACATGCCTCAGTAAGGACCTCAACAACATCGGCCAGACCTACCTGCAGCAGAAGGAGTCCTGTTTCTGGGTGGCCGAAAGCGAGGGCCAGGTGGTCGGGACGGTGGCCTGCCTCCCTGCTGAGAATGCACACGCGTGTTTGGAGCTGAAGCGCATGTCGGTGCGGCGCAGTCATCGAGGGATGGGAATCGCCAAGGCTCTATGTCGGACGGTAGCGGAATTCACTCAAGAGAGAGGTTTTGCAGCCGTCATCCTTTACACCTCAGTGGTGCAGACTGATGCTCAGAAGCTGTACGAACACATGGGTTACACAAAGACGAGAGAGTTCGTTGTGCCAGAGTTACCGGCTAAAATCTTGAACTTTACGCTGTTGGAGTACAGACTGGATTTGCAGCAAAAATAGGGGACACGAACCAAATCTGATGTGGACCAAAACCATTAATACCCTACCAAGATGAACAAAGAAAGCCGTTTCCACACCACTACTGCAGTACAAACACCCCAGAGATTGATAATTTTCAGTTTATCAATGCTGTAACGAAAAATCCTCTAAAAGTCCATTAACACAGAGTGTGGTGTCAGCAGTAAGCAGGCGGTGGAGTTACATAGTATCCCTATGCAAACTGTGCAGGGAAGCAGCCAGCGGTGAATCCCAAACAGTGACTTTTTCAGTTAAAGTGGAATATGGAGACAATTATGCTATCAAAGGTAGAAACAGGGAACACTCTGAAGAGGTTTTTAGGTGGCTTTTGAAAAAAAAAAACTGTTTTAATTTAGTCATAGAAGGACTGCAGGTCGTCCTACCTTACCTCCAGCACAGAGCCCAGTCTGTCACTGCCCACTTTCCATCATTGATGCTCTCTGCACGGGTAGATTTACAAGAAAGTACCGCCGAATCCAACCACCATCGGATTGGCTCTGGATGAACCAAAGTGGACTCTTTTCAAGTTACAGCTGTGCTTTTATTGTAAAATGCCACAAGATCTTGACAGGAAATCCTATGGCGTTGATAGGGGAAACAGTTTCAGCTTTAAACCTAAATATCTGGGAGGCTGATAAATTACAGAAAACTGTGAAACAATCATTCCACCCATAAGGTGAACATGCCCACTGTTATATTCAATGCCAGCAGAGGAATGACATAAGATGTTATGAAATAATATATAATATTCTGGATGTCTGCTGGGACGGCAACACCATTGGCCCAAATTAAATATAATTCTATCTTTGAAACCAAATCAGCACAAATGACAGTTTTACCTGCAGAAATCAAGAGGCACTGAAATAGTAGATCATTTTATTCATTTCAGAGTGTAATGGGGGGGATAGTTGATGTCTGGATGATCTAAAAAATTAATATCTGAAACAGAAGTAGCACATATGATCTTTATTTTATTTATTCATTTTTACAAATTATGATTTTTTTTTACTGCAGAAATATACACTAAGGAACCACTATTCAGTCTATTTGTAAAATGTTTTCTTGTGGTTGGGGTCTCAGCTTCACGCTGCTCTAGCTGCTCCTCCTTGATGATGCGGTGCGGGAAGTAAACACTGCATCTGAAATGCAGAGCGGTGAACTCCCCACAGTCCTTCAGAAATCACTGCCGTCACCGTGCTCGGTCTGAATGCACTTTAAGGGGAGTTTCAAGGTTGTATGTAGACTGATGTTCATGAATATATTTTAAAATATGAATCCCCAATGCTTAATTTTTGGAACCTGTTCAGTCAGGATGAGCATTTCATTCTTCACTCTTATTTGATTTTCATTAAAATATGTTTTAAAACATGTTTTTCCCTTATGTAATTTAAAGAGGTTTATTTTGCTTCTTATGATCAGGTTGATTAGTTAAGTTTCTGATGTTCTATCATGAACTGGAATCATGCTGACTGTAAAACAGCAAATGATTTTGTGCATTTAGCCATCGATGAGTTATCAGAAGTAGAGTATGGATGAAATTGACCATTTTCATTTTCTTCACTAAGTTTCCTGAGTTTCAAACCAGGGTTCTGGTTTGGAGAATACTTGAGGGATGATTAAAAGTCATTTTAGGTAAAATGAGTGAAGCAGATTCTTAAAAGAACCAAACCGATGTATGTTTGTTTACAACAAAAATCATCTAAAAGGGGTTTTATGACTAAAGTCATTTCAAAGCAGTCATACTGACAAATTCCAGGTTAAATATAGAACTTCCAAATGCATCCTAGTTATCAAACACTATTCAAACTGGTTGAGACATTTTTTGCCTAAGTAGACCCAGCAGGTTAGATCAAATGCTTAGCAGCTTTTCAGCATGAGTGGTAATGGCATCCAACCATGACTGCCCTTGGGTTTGATTTTCATGCTCATGCTTCTAACATCAGAATACAACAGTTCTGTATAGCTGTTAAATATTCTTGAACCACAGTCCTCAGAGCTGTGGTAACTATGTTAGCGTTGTTTGGTATTTAATTGGTAAATAGGCATAAATTGGCCACTTCTGCTGGGTTCCATGTTTAACTTGAAGTAGGAACCTGACTCTAAGGAAGATGTCAAGCTCAACCCTGTTTTAGGTCCAATTTTGTTTTTTAAGTTTTTAAGTTTTAACCTATAATCACTTTCAAAACAAAAGCTAAGGCTGAGAATTAAAATTGCAAAGCCCCATCTTAATAGAAACTAATGATCCTCAGGATAGTGTAGAAATATGTGGTCCAAGATAAAAATGTGTTGTTAAAGTTGATATAGAAATAACAGCACTTCACTGATAGACAATCAGAGCATAAGTCAGATGTTATGGTCTGGGGCTACTCTGCTCAGTTCAACTGCCTAATTATCAGTTAATGCCTATAAGCTCAGACACATTTAATTATAGAACAGGGAAATTATCGTAAATACAACCACAAGCCCAGCTTTTAATATGTTTTATGGAATGGACTAGTCAAAGTCTTGGGTTTAACATATGAATTTGAACGTGTATATGCTGGAAAACCTTCCAGTGTGTCCAAATGACAAGATTTCTGCTAAGAAGTCGATGTAAAAGGGTCATGGAACAAAGCTATTTGCTCCAGTAACATGCAGTTACAGTAAGTTTAGTGAGAAACTCACTATTTGTATGGCCAGGTTGGCTTGGATGGCTTTTTTTTTCTACTAATAAAAACAACATGTTGTTGTATTTTAGGTGATTTTGTTGTCTTGCTTAAAAAACAAAAATAGTTTGTATATATGGTAAAAGTTAACAGATAAGGTGTATAGAGGACTTTTCCCAGTCTGATTCTGCCAATCTTATACAAAAATTGAATCTGTGTCTCATAATTATGAGATGGTATCCCATAATTATGACTCTTAATTGTGATATTTAAAAATTAGTATGATTTATTGGTTTGTAATAACTGTTAAGTTTTGGGATTTAATAGTCCAATTCATTTTGGGCTTCCTTTGTTTTGTTCCATGCTAGAAAATGCATTATCTAATCTATTGAACATATATTTAATAATAAGATTTCCCGATGTCAAAGGTTTGACATCAGGAAATCAATACCTTACCTATAGTTTACAAGCATTACACCGTTTCTTCAGGACACAAAAACTCATCAGTCTCCTGAAGTGCTGGGTGATCACAAATTGGAGATCATATGATTATAAAATAGCTATTTCATAATTAAGCAATAGGGTGACCATATTTTCAAAAAAGAGGACACTTGGCCCAGCCTTGAGACAAATTCAGACAAGCTTCTCAGAGGTTAATGAACATGCTTTATTATACTTCTGTGGTAGAAAAATAACTTCTGTAGTAAAAAAAAAAAAAAAATCTGTAAAACCCACTCAAAATGTGCATCATGAGATGCAATTGCAAAGACAAGCTGTGAAATCTTCATTGTTCTGAGTAACATGCTCTACTTTTTGCCTTTTCAAAATATTTGTTCCCCTTCTGGGGTATCTGCAGGCCACTGAACTCCTCATCACTGTTACACCTTTCTAGGAAACTCTTCAGATTGGTGACCTGGCCAAAACATTTAACATCATCGACTGGTACTCCTTCTCTCCTAAGTATTTGGAAAAGATTTTTCAAGTACATCTGTGAAGCTGCACTTGTGCTTCAGCATATGTTGTCCAGTGATGGGACACCCTTTGCCCTGCCCTGCATGTTTTAGATATATCTGTTCCAACACACCTAATTTAAATTAGGGCTCCTCCTCTGTAATCAAGTCCGCAGAAACCTGTAAATCATCCATTCTTTTCTGATGTGATGCAACAAGGAAACACCTCAAACATGCAGGACAGGGGTCCCATGAGGAACAGGGTTGGGCACCACTGAGCTAGAGCCTCCCACAAGGCCTTTGCTCAAGAATGATATCACACAGTACTAAAGTATTCTGTGCAAAGCTCTAGTCTATTTAAGCATACAATTATGGCTCTGTGAAAAACAGTGAAAACCAGACATTTTCATGGATTTATATTCTCCCTCCAGACAAGACGTAAAAAGGGGACATGTCCAGGCAAAACAGGACGTTTGATCACCCAACAATAGTATCTTATTGAGATACTATCTCATAATTATGAGATTGCTAAGTCATAATTATAAAATAGTATCTCTTTATTATTTGATATTATGTCATATTATGAGCTGACTAAGTCATAATATAGCATAGTATGAGGTAATATTTAATAATTATGAGATGGTCTCTTTATTATGAGTCTGAGTATCTCATGAAAGACTTATAAATCTAATAATTATGAGAAAGCTAAGTCACAATAATGATGTACTGTCTTCATATTACTACATAACTTTCTCAAAAGTATCGACCATGTCATGTGAGATAGCTAAGATTGCTAAGCTATGGAGGAGGATTAGGGCCACTGAAAAAAATTAAAAAGTTAACTGATTTTTTAATTGTATTTCAGTATAATATGAGAAAAAAGTCAGATTTCTGACTTTCATCTCAGAATTCTGACATTTTTCTTACAATTCTGACTTTAATCTCAGAATTCAGACTTTTTTCTCACAATTCTGAATGAATTCTGACAGCTAACAAATATGTTAGCATCAAGCCGTAGCCATGTCCGTTTTAGAGACTAAAGTAGCTGTCTTGTTTTAATCACCTTCTGTTCTTCCATTAATGAAATAGCATCACCGGGGACCTCTCGTGCACGTAAAAAGTCGCCTAATCCTGTCATTTTCCACCAATGTGTTACTGGCCCTCTCACACAACTCGCATCTTTGTCAGTGAAGCTGTGCTCCCACATCTCTTCCTTCATGGTGCCCATCTACATTAAGAGCCAAAATTCTGAGATTAAAGTCAGAATTCTGAGAAAAAAAAGTCAGAATTCTCAGGAAAAAAAGTCAGAATTTTGAGGGGAAAAAAAGTCAGAATTCTGAGATTAAAGTCAGAATTCTGACTTTTTTCCCATATTAAACTGAAATAATATTTAAAAATCAGTTCACTTTTTTTCAGTGGCCCTAATGATCTTCTGTACTAATCAGCATGAGAAAGCTGAGTAAAAATAATAATATAGTATCTCATTATTATGAGACACTTTTTTTTTCCATCTGAATGGAATCTTTCCATAGAATTTGGTTTCCACATTACCCACCTGTGGTTTTCTGA